AATAAAAGCATTATTATTATATTTCCTTGTTCATGATAATTTTCTTTATTCATGCTATAATTGTGTTATCCGGAAATCGTAATACATGTGTGAATAACAGACACCAATATGTCCCTAGTGAGCCTCTAGTTGACTAGCTCGTTGATCAACAGATAGTCATGGTTTCCTGACTATGGACACTGGATGTCATTGATAACGAGATCACATCATTAGGAGAATGATGTGATGGACAAGACCCAATCCTAAACATAGCACAAGATCGTATAGTTCGTTTGCTAGAGTTTTCCAATGTCAAGTATCTTTTCCTTAGACCATGAGATCGTGTAACTCCCGGATACCGTAGGAGTGCTTTGGGTATGCCAAACGTCACAACGTAACTGGGTGACTATAAAGGTAGACTACGGGTATCTCCGAAAGTGTCTGTTGGGTGACATGGATGAAGACTGGGATTTGTCACTCCGTATGACGGAGAGGTATCACTGGGCCCACTCGGTAATGCATCATCATAATGAGCTCAGAGTGACCAAGTGTCTGGTCACGGGATCATGCATTACGGTACGACTAAAGTGACTTGCCGGTAACAAGATTGAACGAGGTATTGGGATACCGACGATCGAATCTCGGGCAAGTAACATATCGATTGACAAAGGGAATAGCATACGGGATTGATTGAATCCTCGACATCGTGGTTCATCCGATGAGATCATCGTGGAGCATGTGGGAGCCAACATGGGTATCCAGATCCCGCTGTTGGTTATTGACCGGAGAGTCGTCTCGGTCATGTCTGCTTGTCTCCCGAACCCGTAGGGTCTACACACTTAAGGTTCGGTGACGCTAGGGTTATGAAGATATGTATATGCAGAAACCCGAATGTTGTTCAGAGTCCCGGATGAGATCCCGGACTTCACGAGGAGTTCCGGAATGGTCCGGAGGTAAAGAATTATATATAGGAAGTGCAGTTTCGGGCATCGGGACAAGTTTCGGTGTTATCGGTATTGTACCGGGACCACCGGAAGGGTCCCGGGGGCCCACCGGGTGGGGCCACCTGTCCCGGGGGGCCACATGGGCTGTAGGGGGTGCGCCTTGGCCTAGATGGGCCAAGGGCACCAGCCCCAAAAGCCCATGCGCCTAGGGTTTCCACCAAGGAGGAGTCCTAGTGGTGGAAGGCACCCCTAGGTGCCTTGGGGGGGAGGGAAACCTCCCCTTGGCCGCCGCCCCCCTAGTAGATCTCATCTACTAGGGCCGGCGCCCCCCCTTGGCACCCCTATAGATAGTGGGGGGGGGGGAGGAGGGACTTCATACCTGAACAGACCAGCCCCTGGCGCCTCCCTCTCTGCCCGTTACGTCTCTCCCTCGTAGTATTGGCGAAGCCCTGCTTCTGTGACGCCCTGCATCCACCACCACGCCGTCGTGCTGCTGGATCTTCATCAACCTCTCCTTCCCCCTTGCTGGATCAAGAAGGAGGAGACGTCTCCCGTCCCGTACGTGTGTTGAACGCGGAGGTGCCGTCCGTTCGGCGCTGGTCATCGGTGATTTGGATCACGTCGAGTACGACTACATCATCACCGTTCTTTTGAACGCTTCCGTGCGCGATCTACAAAGGTATGTAGATGCATCTAATCACTCGTTGCTGGATGAACTCCTAGATGATCTTGGTGAAACGAGTAGGAAATTTTTTGTTTTCTGCAACGTTCCCCAACAGTTCGGTCGTCCTATTCTCGCCTTGCAAACTAACAACGGTAAGGAGTTTGACAACGTCGCCGTCCGCAATCTTCTTGCGTCCCACGGCACCATCTTTCGCCTCACCTGTCCCTACACGCCACAACAGAATGGTCGCGCCGAGCGCGCCATTTGCACTCTTAATGACTGTGTCCGCACGTTGCTTTTCCACTCCTACATGCCTCTTCGGTTCTGGCCGGACGCGCTCGCGACCCATATCCTCCTTATTAACATTCGCCCGTGTCGTTCCCGCTGGAACTACACTCCTCACTAGCTCCTCTTCTGTGCGGTTCCGTCTTATGATGGTCTTCGCATCTTCAGATGTCTCTGTTATCCTAGCACCGCGTCCACTGCTCCTTACAAACTCGCTCCCCGGTCCCTTCCTTGCATCTTCCTTGGTTATCCTCCCAACACCAAAGATTACCGGTGCTATGATCCAATGTCCCACCGCATTTTCACTTCGCGACATGTGTACTTTGATGAGCCGGTGTTCCTGTTTCAGCAGGTACCGTCACCTTCGGCGTCTCCCACGGCGCGGTTCGCCCCTGCCTCCACCTTTGGCGGACCGCCCAGCCACACACTAGGCTCGGCCCTGCCTGCGCTCCCTGCAACGGTGGCCCCCGCGACCCTTGCCACGGCCCCCGTCGGCATGGCCCCGGTCCCCGTGGCCCCTCCGTGGCCCCCGTCGCTGCGACCCCTACTGTGGCCCCTGCTACGGCCCCTGCCGCTGCGGCCACTGCTGTGGCCCCCGTCGCCGCAACCCCTGTCACCACGGCTGCACCCCTCACCGGTGCGGCCACTCGGGCTCGGACTGGGACACTTCATCCTAGCACATGCTACCCGTCAGACGAGTACGCGTGTGCCGCATCCACCTCGGCGCCTTCTCCACTCGCACATCCCTTTGAGATCCGAACTGGCTAGCTGCGATGCATGTGGAGTTTGACGCCCTACAGCGCAACCGTACGCGGCAGCTTGTCCCGCAGCCTCCCCGTGCCAATGTCATCACTGGCAAGTGGGTATTCCGCCACAAGACTCGCCCCGACGGCTTTCTCGAGCGCTACAAGGTGCGTTGGGTGGTGCGCGGCTTCCGCCAGCGCGCCGACGTGGACTTCACCGACACCTTCGCCCCGGTTGTCAAACCGGGCACGATTCGTGTTGTCCTTCAGCTTGCTGTTTCTCATGCCTGGCCAGTCCACCAGCTCGATGTGTCTAATGCTTTCTTGCATGGCCATCTCGACGAGCAGGTGTTCTGTCAGTAGCCTACTGGTTTCATCGACACCGACTATCCGGACCACATGTTCTTGCTCTCCCGTTCTCTCTACGGGTTGAAGCAGGCACCTCGTGCCTGGTACCAGCGGATCGCGGCCTTCCTTCAGCAGCAGGGGTTTCGGTCCACACGGTCTGGTGCCTCCCTATATTTGTTTATCATCAGGGCCTCGCCACCGCGTACCTCCTCCTGTATGTCGACGACATCATCCTAACTGCATCCTCGCCAGCGCTTCTTCAGCATATCACAGCTCGCCTCGGCACCGAGTTTGCCCTCAAGGACTTGGGGGCTCTCCACTACTTCCTCGGCATCGAGGTCGTGCGTCGGGCCACTGGCTTCTTCCTGCACCAGCAGAAGTACGCCTACGAGCTTCTGGAGCGAGCGGGCATGCTTAACTGCAAGCCTGCTCCCACACCCGTCGATACGAAGGCTAAGGTGTCCGTCGTCGAGGGTTCTCCGGCGTCCGATGCTCCCTTCTACCGCTCCATCGTCGGTGCGCTTCAGTACCTCACGCTGACGCATCCGGACATTCAGTACGCTGTCCAGCAGGTGTGCCTTCATATGCATGGTCCTCGTGACACCCATTGGGCTCTGGTAAAACGTATTCTTCGGTTCATACGTGGCACCACAGCCATGGGTCTCACCTTGACGACATCACCTGATACCAGCCTTGTCGCCTACTCCGACGCCGACTGAGTTGGGTGTCCCGGCACTCGACGCTCCACTTCGGCTACTGTGTCTACCTCGGGCCCTCTCTGATTTCGTGGTCGTCTAAACGACAACCCACGGTCTCACGACCGAGCGCCGAGGCTGAATACCGGGCTATGGCCAACGCCGGCGCGGAGTGCTCTTGGCTACAACAGCTACTTCAAGAGTTGCTATGTGAGGTTACCAAGGCGACACTTGTCTACTGTGACAACGTCTCCGCGGTGTACCTTGCTGCCAACCCTGTCCATCACCGACGGACGAAGCATATTGAGCTCGACATCCACTTCGTCAGGGAGCACGTCGCACTTGGTCGTGTTCGCGTTCTACATGTGCCCACCGATCAGCAGTTCGCCGATGTTATGACGAAAGGACTGCCCACCCTGACATTCAAGGGCTTTCGGTCCGGTCTCTGCGTCACCGGCGATGCTTCGACTGCGGGGGGTGTTGAACATGTGTACATGTACGTAGGTATGGGTTTCGTATGCAGTACCTGTAGTGTCTGTCTCCCTCTGTATGTACGTGTATCTTAGGAGACAAGACATCGGTCGCACCCCTTGTACCTATATATATATGTGCGTAGTGCACGATCAATCAACCATCGATGCATCAAATCATTCTCTACAACTATGAAGGAACTACTTTTTTTTTCCCTATTTTTCTGCATGCGAAAGAGTTGACTATTTTGAAGTGGTATCAGCCGTTTTCTTTATAAGAACTGCAAGGAGCCGTTGGGTTGTTGGATAAACTGTTGAAAAGGAGACGAGTCACAGTCATGGTCTTGCATATGGATCATGATTCATGCAATGTGTTGCGCCACCGAGGAAGTGGTATTGGTCACTTGAAACCACGAAATTGCAAGTGACCAACACATCCTTCCACTCAATTGTTGGGGGAAAGAAGGGAGCGTCGTGAGATCTTCTCGCTGTCATTTACCCTTTCAACAGACTGATCGCTTCACGGTCAAGGCTCACAGAGAGGCCCGGGCATAACCGTTTGACATCTCGTGCGTGTGTGCTGATGACATAGTGCATCTTTTTTTATTTCTGAGTTGGCATAGTGCATCGTATCTACCGCGTATAAATATGCGGGAGGGCCTGGCCTTTGCTTGGACTCACAGGTAGACACTTGCCCCGCTACCATTCCAAGCACATATTCCCGCGGGCATCCTGCCACCTAACCGCCTACCTTGCACTGCAATTCATCCTCCATTCAGCAAACCCAAAATAGTGGAGCAGCCCGATCTGAGTCCTGTTGCATACATACGGATACGGGCGTAGCCGGATACAGCTAGCTAGCTGCAGGCGCCATGATGGGGGTGAGGGTGTGCAATGGAAAGGCCGTGGCGGCGCTGGCTGCGGTGTTTGTCATCTGCGCCGGCAGCGGCCTTGTGGTCTCGCCGGCGGCGGCGAGCGGGCACGAGGAGGCCCACCTGGTGCCGGCGGTGTACGTGTTCGGCGACTCCACGGTGGACGTGGGCAACAACCAGTACCTGCCGGGGAACGCCGCGCTGCAGCTCCCCTACGGCATCGACTTCCCGCAGTCGCGGCCCACCGGGAGGTTCAGCAACGGATTCAACGTCGCCGACTCCATCTGTACGTAGTCCGCCCGCATGGCCGGCCGCCCCGCCGGCGTGCACTTGGTTTCCATTTCATTTGTCAGATGAAGCTAACGCACGGTGCAAACGGAAATGCAGCGAGGCTGCTGGGCTTCAAGAGGAGCCCGCCGGCGTACCTGTCGCTGACGCCGGAGACGAGCCGTCAGATCGTCAGAGGCTACCGTGGCGTCAACTACGCCTCCGGCGGATCCGGCATTCTCGACACCACCGTGAGTGCCGCCGCCTCGGATTGTGCGCCTCTTTTTTGTTCCAAAGAAATCAGTTGGAGTTACTTCCATATGAGTTTTATACTCACATTCATCTGTCTTTCGCCCGGAATAAAACAACACATTCATCCGTCTTTTTCTGAAAAATAAAATATTCGCATTTGTTCATCTTTTCTGCGTTGTTTTTACTAATTTTGCTTCATGTCGGCATCGAACGATCGATCAGGGGAACACCCTCACGTTGACCAAGCAGGTGGAGTACTTCGCGGCCACCAAGTCAAAGATGACGGAAAAGAGCCGTGGCATCGACGCGCTGCTGTCCAAGTCCCTCTTCCTCATAAGCGACGGCGGCAACGACTTCTTCGCCTTCCTCCGCCAGAACCTGACGGCCAGCGACGCGCCGTCCTTCTACGCGGACATGCTGACCAACTACACCAAGCACGTGCAGACGCTGTACCAGCTGGGAGCGCGGCGGTTCGGGATCGTCGACGTGCCGCCCATCGGCTGCGTGCCGGCGGTGCGGGTCACCTCCCCGAACGGCGAGACCGAGTGCGTCGAAGCCGCCAACGCCCTCGCCAGGGGGTTCAACGACGCGCTGGGGAAGGTGATGGCCAAGCTCGCCGCCGCGCTGCCCGGGATGAAGTACTCCGTGGGGAGCTCCTACAACCTTATAACGTTCATCACGGAGCACCCGGAGGCCGCCGGGTTCAAGGACGTTGCCAGCGCGTGCTGCGGCGGCGGGAGGCTCCGGGCGCAGACCTGGTGCGGGCCCAACGCCACCTACTGCGCCAACCGCAACGACCATGTCTACTGGGACGAGGTGCACGGCACCCAGGCCACCTCCACCAAGGGCGCCAAGGCCATCTTCGCCGCCCCGGTGAAGCTCGGCTTTGCCGCGCCCGTCAACTTCAAGCAGCTGATTTCTTCTTGATCGGCGATCGAGGCATTGCAGCGCACGGTCACGATTTGTCGTCAGCTCTTAATTTAGTTGTCAGTGTTCACTGTTTGATAGAGGGAGGGAAAAGATGTCCTACACTTTTTGATTCTTTTGTAGATCCGTGGAGATGCAATAGAATCATAGAGAAGGTGTCGTGATGCATGCGATTTTATGTTCAAACAAAGCGGGCGAATGGCCCGAAAATACCCTCTAGAATAAAAGAAGTGAAGTTGCAAAAAAAAAAAGTGCGTTGTGTGATCAGTGAACTCGGTGAACTCGTCCAAGCCCCTTTTAAGGGCATCCCAACACACTTATCGAAGATTGCGAGGTTGTTGGTTTACGTATGCGTCATCGAGGCACTTCCTTCAAGAAATAAAAGGAAAACAGAAAAACCTAGTCATAGAGGCCCATTGTTGGTTTTTTTTAGGGGAATACCATTGTTGGTTTGTTCACTGTTATCTCCTCCGGTGGATCCTATTCGCCTTCGGCAGGCGGCAAATAGACTCCGCAACCCCCGCAGCGACGCAGAGTAGGCCGGCCCAGTTCGTGGGCTTCGCGCGCGCGTCTTGCGTCTGATTCGCTCTTTTTCTTTTCGTTATATATGTTGTGGGTTTTGTGTTTCGTTTTTTTTGTTATTTATTTATTTATTTTCCTTTTCCTTTTTCCCTTCTGCATTTTGTTTTTCTTCTGTTTTTTTCGGATTTTTTTCTTCTGGTTTGGTTTTTCTTACGCATTCTTTTGCTGTTTTCCCTTTTTATACGCTTCTATACTATAAATATTGCTTCAGTATAATATGCTAAGCATATTTATATAAGATGAACATTATTAATACAAATTAAACTTTTTTATGTAGGATGAACTATTTTTTAATTTATGCTGAACATTTTTCTATATGCACAGTGATTTGTTTATTGTACAATTATCTCTTTTTAATATACATGGAACATTTTTTTTATACAAAGTAAGCTTTTTAAAAATGTACAGCAAACTTTTTTTAATACTAGGACAATGACCATGTGTTGCAACGGGATATAAATATTCTATTATATTAGCATGTGATTTATCTACCCATATTAAATATTTATCAAACCCTACCTATTATTTATTGGCAACATATACTATGCATCCAAGGAAGTTGTATATCCATGCATCACCCGTTTGTCCTCGACCATCTGATCCAAATAGCATGGGCAGCATCGAAACCACGATTATTTTGCGTTTACATGCCCGCCTGCGCACCTAAGTCGATGTAATTTATCAGTAAGCACCCTAACGCTTATTCTCACTTGATAGATAGAAGTCATGGAACAGATCAGATCAGGTTGTGCGCCGGCGGGCACTACAAAACAAGGCGGGCTTGCGTGCGATCATAGGCGTGGAGAACCTGTGGGTTTCGGCGACACGACGCAGCGGCCGGCGGCGACGACACAACACGGCAGGCCCCGGCGCGGCAGATCAGTCGACGGAGTCTTCGATTCTAACTTAGACGCCACGGTTGTCTCAAAATTAATCCCTATTGTTGTAATAGATAGCACCGGCTTCATCTCTGGTTCCAAGAGACAACAAAACCACGATTAAGTCTCGCATATTCAATGCCCTTAAGAACCGTACTGGCGTACAGGCAATGGAACTCACACCGTTTTCGTGAACATGTATGACTGGCTCCTCTTGAAAATGAGTCTACAAAATAATAAATAAATACATCTTGTTGACACTACATTTTGGCACGGTCAAGAACTTATTTAAGATGACGTCAAATGGAGAAGTGATCTTCATGAAAGATTCTGTATTGTTGATATGAACATCGTTGAAATTTGGGTCATCGCCGTCCGATTTCATCTCGAAGGCCGAAACTATGATCTTATATTCAGAGTACCGTTTGGCCGATTAAGCCCCGAAGATGACCTCAAATAGAAAAATGATCTACACAGATTGTCTTCGTCTCGTCGAAATGATTGATTTTGATATAAAAATCATCCAAATCCGAGTTCGTATGCAAAAATTAGAGCCATCGGAATACAGCTCTGTCAGGAGGCAAAAACTGACGCGCCCCACCACACACCGTGTCTGATGGGTAGCGCGAATAATAGCCTGTTTTGCGCGACCGATTTGTCCCTCAAGATTACCTCTGATCAAAAAACGTTCAACATGAAAGTTGTTCGTCTCGTCGAAACAGTCAAGATTGCTTTTAGGCTCGTTTCCATCCGAGATTGTTTACCACCTCAAAAAGTACTCACAAGGTACAGCCAGTTTAAACCGAACAGTTTTGGAAAGTTCGGACAAAACCAATCCGAATTTGACTAGGGTTTTGGACGTGAATCCAAGTCTTTTCCTTGTACGGGAAGTCCAGCTGCCTCTTATGTATCTAAGGGGTGACGGCCGATTGAACAACACACAATCGATCAATTCATCTACCACTTTTATCTTTTATCTTTTCTCTTTAACCCTAGTTCTTCTTCTTTCTCGTTTTTCGTTCGTTCTTCTTCATTGCAGGGCGGCGAACCTCGAGGCCCTGGGGCGGTCAGGCCGACCTAGGGCAGCCCATAGCCGCCGCGCGCCCTGACAGGGTCCCTCCCGGGCGCGTGGGGTTTCGGGTCTTCAAAAGCACCCGCCGGATTGCCTGCGTACCGCGCTTCCAGACGGGTCTCCTTCGACGTGAGCTGCGGTGCATCACCCTCGGCGTTGGAGATACACAGTGATGTGTTCGTGTGTGAACACACTTTTTGGCGACTCCGCTGAGGACGAAGCTTCGAACGGTCTCCGGCCCGTTCTTGCTACGAAGAGATCGTCATCTAGGGTTTGCAGTCTACGAAGGTAATATGAATACCCAATCCCTTTATGTAGATGCAAATAATTCATATGGTGTTACTAGGTTGTTCAATGAGTATACTCTATCGGCCAACCTCAGTTTTTTCAATCATGCAACTAACTACGTGCAAGGGCCGATTCAAAGTAATTTATATACTTCAACTTCTGATGATATTAGTAACATGCACCATATTTATCCCAACTGACATGCATCGGCAACCCAGCAAATTCATATGCCGATGAGCAACATGATGAGTTCGATTAATCAATTTAAAACACCCCAAGTTAGAATTTCCAATGCCATACAAGGAAATGTTTCACCCTTTTATTCATGGGCAGCTAATGTGCAATATAGTAATCCAACCATGCTGATGAATGAGAGAATTGGCCATGCTACTAGTGGCTATTTGGATAGTTACCCTCAACCGTCATATGCTACACCTCATGTTAGTAATTCTTCGGCACCATACACAACTATAGATGCTCATAATTCGGCTTCACACCTTCCTGGTTATAGCCGAATGAATGTAAATTTTACAGGAGCGGTTGTGCCCAATATTGTAGAAGATGAGGTAGTGGTGGCTGCATTGAAGAGTTTAGCCCAAAATAAGAGAATTAGTGCTCTTTGCCTTGAACAACATGAAAAGGGGCTATTTCCTGATTATGCCGCAATAAAAGCTAGAGTTTTACAAGAAGATGAATCTTTGCCAATTCATAAAATTGGCGAGCAAAAGTATGGTCCTACAACAATGCATATGGCTTCACCTAGTACTACATCATATTATACACCCCCTACACAATTGCAAAATTTCGGCAACACCCGTGTATCATTGCCGAAAGAATCTAAAAGCATTGGGGGGAATTCATATCCGGAGTGGGCTGAAATTGAGAAAAAGCTTAAAGCTAATTTTGCCGCTCGCCGTCAGAAACAAATAAAAAAAGAATTGGCTCAGATAAAAGAACAATTGCCAATTGGTAGTATCAATGAAAAGAAGGATGATTCGGAACATGAAAGTGCTTCGGTTGGAAAAGCCGAATCAAGTAGTATATATTCTGAATCCAACAAATCCAACGAGGCAAGCATTATTGAGAAAGGGCATGGCAAGCATAGGAAAACAACAGTGCTTGATTTTTCTGAAGTTAATGGAAGCTACTTCCTGCCCTATGAGTTCCGTGCCGTAGAAATTGACAAGCTTCGAGGACAAGAACAAGTAGCCGAACAAAGTTCGGCCGACAAAAATCTTCAATGTAATGATGCACGGAATAAAGAAAAAGATGATGAAAAGGCGTTGGAGAGTCATCCAAAGATGAAGCTAGATATTTTTTCAAGTCACACCACCATCATGCTCTCCCAGCGTATTTGAAGAGGTATGCATAGCGAGTAATTTACCTATTTTTAGATTTGGTCACAACTTTATTGTTGATGCATCTATTAGAAAAATCCTCATAGGTAATTTTGAAAGACCAATGAAGAAGGGTAATTTACTTGTTAGCAATAAAATTGTTTTAGAACATATCGGTCAGCCAATTGTGCCATTTATAAAGACCGATAATAACTTATTATTGCAGCCAAATCTTTCCCCGTTGCTTTATCTAAAGTTCATATCTATTTGGGTAGCTTTGCTTATTTCCTACTTGGCTTACACTTGGTCTCAATTGAGACATGTATGTTTTAACTATTTTTATTTTAGAAATTTAAAGCCAAGGTTAAATTCTGTTGAGAAAACTGATGCTAGTATAATATCTTAAGACATCAGAGATAGAATGCAAAACACAATGCAAAGCCGAATGGTTTGATGCAAAATCTGAACCATTCATTTGCTTAACTCCAAAGCCGTTCTCACAACAAGATCGGCTAGAGAATGAAAAGTTTACCTTCAATTCAAGCATGTGTGATCAAATATTTGATTTGTTGTTGCAAAATAATTATATTAGAATTCTTGATCATCATGTTGAACCATCTGTCCAAGGACGAATGTATTGTAAGTTGCATGATTCGTCCAAGCATAATTTTAAGGATTGCAACATGTTTCGTCAAATAGTTAAATCGGCCATTGATAAAGGACGGTTGAAGTTTGTTGAGACACCAAGAGATGACCAGTCTATTCCGATTGGTCCCGATGGCAGAAAGTTTTTGCATCGGCTGCTTCAAGCCGATCCATTTGAAGAGAAGGTAAAAACTACAT